CGCCTGTTGCTCGTGTTTTTTAACGGGGGAGGAGTAAAAGGCGAAGGGTGGCTGTGAGTGCGCAGTCGGGTAGTGGCTCGCCGTCACCCTGAGGCCCCCTGGCCAGCCCTGCGCTCAGGGTGGGGGTTGATGGGGCTCATCACAGCCCACCAGCAGAGCTCACCAGGGCACCCCCCCGCACCCCGAAAGCTCACGCCTGAAAGCTCAGAGGCCTCACGGGTGGCGTGGAACCGGCGGTGGGGTCCAGGGACCCTCACCCAGCCCGACACAGGGTGGGTGGTGTGTGGCCGCAGAGGTGCGAGTTGGGCATGGGACACATGTGGGGTCACCAGAAGCCCTCGCTGCTGGGGTCCGTGACACGGGTGGGGACAAAGGTGAGCCAAAGGTGAGCATGGAGTGCAAGGCAGAGGTTGGAGGGTGCAGGGAAGGGGCTATAGGGTGCAGGTGAGGAGCTATAGGGTGCAGGGAAGGGGCTACAGGGTGCAGAGAAGGGGTTGTAGGGTGCAGGGAAGGGGCTATAGGGTGCAGAGTAGGGGCTATAGGGTGCAGGTGAGGAGCTATAGGGTGCAGGGAAGGGGCTACAGGGTGCAGAGAAGGGGTTGTAGGGTGCAGGGAAGGGGCTATAGGGTGCAGAGTAGGGGCTATAGGGTGCAGGTGAGGAGCTATAGGGTGCAGGGAAGGGGCTACAGGGTGCAGAGAAGGGGTTGTAGGGTGCAGGGAAGGGGCTATAGGGTGCAGAGTAGGGGCTATAGGGTGCAGGTGAGGAGCTATAGGGTGCAGGGAAGGGGCTACAGGGTGCAGAGAAGGGGTTGTAGGGTGCAGGGAAGGGGCTATAGGGTGCAGAGTAGGGGCTATAGGGTGCAGGTGAGGAGCTATAGGGTGCAGGGAAGGGGCTACAGGGTGCAGAGAAGGGGTTGTAGGGTGCAGGGAAGGGGCTATAGGGTGCAGAGTAGGGGCTATAGGGTGCAGGTGAGGAGCTATAGGGTGCAGGGAAGGGGCTACAGGGTGCAGAGAAGGGGTTGTAGGGTGCGGGGGGGCAGCTGTGTCCCCTCCTGTCCAAAAAGGCGGTGAAGAACGCATCGCCCTCCCCCGATGCTGGCGGTGCGCGGGGTGCAGAGCCGGCGGGGAAGGATGCTCCGGGGCTGCGGGTGCTCTGAACGGGAGGGAAGAGCTGTAAGCTGCCCTGGGGAGAAGCGGGGAAGGTTTTTGGGGACCCCTCCGCTACGGGGTGGCTTTGGGGAAGGAGCAGGGTGCGGGGGATTTGTTCTCCTCTGCCATGCATTGTGTTAACGCCGATCTCCTCTTATTTGGGGGCTTTGATCTGCTTATTTTTTAGCGCGGTCGCAAAGAAATACATTTTTAAAAAATCTAAACTCGCCCCAACAGAAAAATCCCTTCCCCCTCAAGCTACAAAAAAAATAAAAATAATAATTAATTGTCCCCGAAATTATTCTCCCCGTTTATTTCTGAAGCCTTCCCGGGCGGCAGCGTTCTGGTCGGTAACAACGAGCCCCGCTGCTTTGCCCGCAGGCAGGACCGGGCCAGGGCTGCCTGTAACTTACCCGGGTGCGGGCAGGGAGGTTCGGCAAGGCTATATATAAACAAAAAAAATA